AGCTCATTTTGATCAACAAATAACTAAGAAAAGATTAGTGATAACATAGCTTATTGTTATTCTATGGTGAATATTCATGAAAGAAATTTGATTAATACTTGAATCAATGATCAATGATTGAACCAACGAGTGAAGACTATCCTTTGACAAAGGCATTTAATATTTTTGTTTATCTCTTACTTAAGTATGATTCTTTTTATTACTTTCAGCAAACAAACCCCCCTTCTCTTGCCTTTTACTTTGACACAATCAAACAATAAATAAATTGATCGAACCAATTATCTATAGGATCAATCCTTGTTTACCACAATTATATAATTAGGTTTAGTAAGGAAAATAAATGGATAATTTTGTGTTGGCATGACACGCTATCGGAAACCATAATTTTTTATAAATTTTCGAAATAAATAATCAATCCTAACATATATTCAAATCTCTAATAGTAAAACATCAAAAGATGAAAAAAAAAGGGGACAAAATACATTCTAATAATACCCAAATAGATTTGAAACATACCTGTATTAAGTTAGAAATTGATAAACACCTAGAACTTACATCCACTAAAGTACAACCTTAATCACTCTCTTAGTCTTTTATCAAATCCCAAGAACTCTACATCAACATCTCATAATCATTGTCAAATTAGGAAGAAGAAATCGATTAAAATAAAGCCTAACTCAATATCTTATCTCTATGTGTATAAATATATATTTGAATTTTTTTTGAAAAAAATTAAAACTCTTAAACGACATCCTTTTATCATTGAAGTTAACGACCAAACTTTTGACCATCAAAGATAACAAAATAAAGATAATATTTGCCTATAAAATAAAAATTTAAGATCAAAATAACTCAAATTAATAATAATAACCTTAAATTACCAAAACTTTAGTAGTTCGGAGGTAATTTTTGTCATTAAACCAATAATAAACTTAGCCCCTCAAATTTTAGTGTGTTGTCGTAGCTAATTCTTCAAAAGTTTGGAATTGGACCATCTTTATATCATTTGGTCTTTCTTGCTCTTTGAAGTGTCGAATTTAGTATTAGCCATCAAAAGTCTTGCAATTTAGTTCAATTGCTAACAATTAATTAAACAATACTTATTTTGGGTGTAAACAATAGGTCATCCCAAACCGAAAAGTATATAAAACCGGATCTCCTACCTACTTGCTCGCTTCGTTGAAATAAAAGGTGAAAGTAAAAGGTTTTGCGCATCTATGTGGTGAGTAAAAGAGGGATGAGGTTTTTGGTTAGGATCTAGGAGTAAGATTAGGTTTAGAAGAGGAAGGATGAAGAGATGGGAAGGGAAATGGAGGGGGAAAGGTCATTGCCATCAAGTTAAGACTTTACTCGAGAAAGTTTGTTGATGTGGATAAGAAATTGAATTTAAAAAGGATTTGATTAAAATAAGTATATTTCTATATCTCTTCTTTTATTAATGAATTTCAAATATAAAGATTAAGATCGATACACATTGAAAGCGGATGTGTATATAACGATTCGAAGTCCGATTTTGACATTTCTCCTTTGTTTTTGACAAAATAGAGATAGAAAAAATATAAGGGACCATAATATATATATAATTTAAATCTCTAATGGTAAAACATCAAAAAATGACTAAAAAAGATTGACAAAATACATTCGAACAATACCTATATAGATTTAAAAGATACTTGGATTTAAGTTAGAAATTCGATAAACACTTAGAACTTGCCTCCACTCAAGTAAAATCTTAATCACTCTCTTAGTCTTTTATCAAATCCCAAAGAACTCTACATCGACATCTCACAATTACTATCATATTAGAAAGAAGAAATCGGTTCAAATTAAACCTAACTCCATTATCTCTTGTCTATATTGTATAAATTTATATATTTGCATTTTTTTCTTTTTGAAAAAAAAAAAAGTTCTTAAACGATGTCCTTTTATCATTGAAGTTAACTCGTCAAACTTTTGACTCGTGAAAGATAACGAAAGAAATATAATAGTTACTTAAATAATAATAATAATTTAATATCAAATAAATCATATTAATACCATAACTTTAGCAATTCCGAGTTAATTTTGCCCATTAAACCGATAATAAACCTAGCCCTTCGAATTTTTACCATAACTTTAGTAGTTCTGGGGTCATTGCTATAAAGTTATGACCTTACTCGATAAAGTATGTTGATGTTCGATAAGAAATTAAAGGAATTTGATCAAAATAAGTATATTTTTATGTGTATATCTCTTTTTTTATTATTAATGAATTTCAAATGTAAGGATTAAGATTGATACGCTTTTACTTTAAAGACTACACTCCCTTCTCCCTCGCTATAGATTAATAACAAGAAATTCACATGCCTTTTTCTTAATTTCCTACACTCCCCTCTGTATATTTGCTAACAAGTACATATCTTTTTTGTTATTATTATTCTTGATTTACCAATCCAAATATCCCTTTTAGCTTCGAAAAGCCTTTCCAGGTCTGAAAACCAAACAAAACCAAATTTCCTACGTACCTGCTTTCGTAAGTTTCCTTGCGATGAAGTGGTCAGAAACAAAACCAAATTTCCTAAACATCCTTAGAAATCCATCTGCTCCCCACCATGAGAAATAAAAGGTGAAAGTAGAAAGTTTCGGTTGGGTATCCATGCAGTGAGTGCTGGAGCAACTTGGTACGGAGACAAAGAATCACAAAAATAATTATTTGTCCTACACGGAGATTATAATAGTTTCAGGGATACTAATAAACTCTTAAACACTTAAACTCTTTAAAACTAAACCCAGAAAAAAAAAGGAAAAAAATACGTTCGATGTGTATACCACTGTTAATAACTGTTTAAGTTTTTTAATTAAACTGAATAGCGACTTAAGTTTTTTAATTAATTAAACTGAATAACTGTTCTGTTTAATCTAACCATCACATCTAGGATTAAATTACTTTAAAAAATTAAAAGATAAAATTCAGAAAAAAGTTATTTTATTGACGATTTTAATATCAAATGCCAATCTTTTTTATATTATAATTATATAGACAGATGCTAGACCCATCAAAAGATTCACCAAGTAGCTCACTATAAGGATCCACCGCTATTGTACTCCTTTAATTTATTATGTTACAAAAATCCATCCTTATAAACACTTTGAAGAATAATGGTTTTTTTTTTTTTTGTTAATAAGAAATACACCAAAAGTGAATAGAAGAGGGATGAGGTTTTTGGTGAGGGTTAGTACTCAAATTAGGTTTAGAGGAGGAAGGATGAAAGGGTTAGGATTTGGGTTATGGAATTAGGGATGGAAAGGGGGCAAGGAGAAAGGTCATTCCCATGCATCATATTGTAATTGCCTTAATTCCTCGAGAAAGTTAATTTGTTGATGTAGATAAAAAGTTGAAATTAAAAAGGATTTGATTCAAATATATATTTATTTATATCCAAAAGTGTATTAATTAATTTTAACTATACTATTAATTAAACACTTTTGGAGTAGATCATGTGTAGGTAACGGATTTGGAGTCTTTTATCTTTCGAGGGAACATACTTTGAAGCCTATGGTACTTCTGTCTCTTGTAGATTAACAACAGGATATTGACATTTCTCATTTTCATTTTTCTAATTTATAACCACATTTTCAAAAATGTTTTCATAATTTTCTTCGCTTACATCGATTCACATATGAAAATTAAACAAACTTTTTCCGTTTTATTCCATGATTAAAAAAAAAAATTCACAAAAACAGTCTTCAGCCTTTTTTCAAATAGCAACTTTTATCACTTTAATGAGAATAAAAGTTACATCTCTTTCTCTTTCTTTTCATTGTCTTGGGTGTGTAGTACGTAGTTTTTTTGTTTTTTCCTAGACGAGCGAAACAACATACTTGAACACCTTTTCTAGGTTTCAGTGTTAGAAAAATATTTCGAAACTTCAATTAATGAGCATGTTTTTTTTAATTTCTCTTTGACAAATGAAAAATTGAAATTGGAATAAATGTATAGAATATTAAAGTTTGAAAATGGGGAAAAAAATCATCAATGAAAAAATCCTAAGCATTGTATAAAACAATGAAATAAGAGTAATAGGCCGAAAAGGAAATTAACTTCCGAAGAGAAAGACGTTTAGGAAAGAAACGTTCATGACTTAATTATGCGAATAAAAAATTTGAATAGACTAACAAATTTTATGAAATAATGAATAGGGAGAGAATATATATTTGATTCTATTAGCTAGGCAATGCAACGAAACAAATAAGAAAATATTTTTCCTTAGGAAAAACATAAGGTTATTATTATTTTTTTCTTACAACAGTATAAGGGTTTCTTTTACCATGAGTTAATTAAAAACACAAGGTTAACTTTTTTTTTTTTTTTGAAACACAAAGTCTACCTTAATTGAAAGTCAAAAAATAAAAAATATTTATTATAAAAGAAATGAATTGTTTTAATAAATATTTAAGTTTCCCAACCAAAAATTCTTGGCCCATTTGAAGCTTGTATTGATCGGATACTTAACATCATATCCTATATTCTTCGATATTGGATAGGAACGGTGGTTTAGCAAAGTTCTCACCCTCTAACTCCTAGAATATAAAATCATTTGGTTATATATATATATCGTAAATTTATTTTTAATTATTTTTGACACTATATACTACTCATACAAATCAATAAAAAGAGTATGGTAAATGGAAACTGAAACGAAGAGTTGTTACAGTCGAAGGTTACCAAAAAACTTTTCATTGAAGAATCATAGGCAATGCATATATTTATGGAAATCCAATTAATTCTGACTTAATGACACCTAAAATTTGTGAGATATCTTCGCTAAATGGTTTCTTGAATCCAATCTAATATGTCCTTTCTTCCTTCTTTCCCTGAATGTAGCATCTTAAAGGCCAAAATCTCTCTCATCTTTCTCTGAGTGCTTATCTCACATATGATACCAATCTTTTCTTTAGCACCTTTGCCTTAAACCCTAACAAGTTTCTGCTGCAGTCTTTTTTCTCTGTTCAAATCTCTAATGGATGACTATGTACAAGATCAGATTTTCCAAAGGGATCATCCTGTTAAGGTGACTGTTGCATCACCACTTTTAGATCCCTCAGATGCCAAACCAAAATTTTGTCTCAAGATCAAAATAGCTAGCAGCAGTAGAAATAGTGAAGATGACGAAGGTTCTTCGGCTGCTGCTGCTGCTGCTGCTGCTAACCTATATGGACCTGGTTATCGGGTATGTGAATATTGTGGCAAAGAATTCTCATCAGGGAAAGCTTGGGGCGGCCATAAGCGGCACCATCTCAAAAACGATAAAGATCTCAAGAAATCTCGAAAGCTAGAGCTTACCAAGATCCATCGTGAAAAGATGAAGAAACATGAATCGAAATCGGCTAAGAGTGACAGTAGTAGATGTAATACCATCAAAGCTGGAGATGTGAGTGTAAGTAATGGGGGAACACCAACCTGTTGTTTGTGTGGCAAAATATTCCCTTCCATGAATTCTTTGTTTGGCCATATGAGGTTCCATCCTGATAGAGGCTGGAAGGGGACTCAGCCGCCTTCATCCTCCGACAAACACAGTTGCTCCTCTGGTCTTTCTGAAGCTGCAGCTGGATTAGAGGTTGATCAGATTGGTTTATCCATGGAAAAAGGTTTAGATGCAGGTGTTGATCTACTTACATCCCTATCAAGTTGGCCCAAGAGAGAGAAGCGTGGGCGGACCTTGGATCCAATTGAGGCTGCCTGTCATTTGGATCCAGTTGAAGCTGCGTGTAATCTAATAGAACTATCTCGCGACAGTGGCCGATTAGAGAAACAGAAGATTGACGACCTGCGAAGAAGAAAGAAGCAGGAATCAGCAACTAAAGCTTTTCGACCAAAACACAGTGGCAATCCAACGGATCTTAAAGAAGGGGTTGAGCTACGAATTGGGACCAATGATCAAAAGGCGGTGTCTTTTGACCATGAATGGGGAGATTCATACTGTTCTAATGAAGAGAAAGGCAAGAACAAGGAGTCAGATGAAATGGATGATGAAATTCATAATATGATCACAAAAAAGAAAAACAAGAAGCTGATGATGAACTGGATTGACAAGTTAAATGATTCTGAAACTCTAGAAGGCACAGGATCATATAACATTGGATGCCGCAGTTATGATAAATCATTTCCAACATTTGCCGAAGGGGATAGAGCTGAATTAGTGGATTATAACTCCAACGTTGATGTGAAAGACCTTGTACTTCCTGCCTCAGAAGTTAAACAAGCAGAAGAAATTGAAGAGAATGGTTCAATCCCAATGGGGATTTCCTCCTTTGTATGTGATATTTGCCATAAGACTTTCCCCACAGGTCAGGCACTGGGGGGTCATAAGAGATGCCACTGGAAAGGGCCAGTTAAAGCTCCATCACATGAAGTAGCTTTAATTGGGGAAGCAAGTCAAAATACTTCTAATACTGAACCATCTGGAGAAGCCACTCGGGCCAGTGATTGTAGATTAAGCTTTGACTTGAACGTTCCATACATCATGGAGAAGGGAGAACAGATGTAGTTTTTTGAATTGCCTTCTCTCCAGGTTCTCATGCATTCTCATCATCTTCAGGTTTTAATATATGTATTACCTTTAATTTACTATTGCTTGAATCTAATAAGTTACTTACTGCAGCTTTTTCTTTTTTTTCATGGTTCTTTCCAAATTGTTTCCGTGCTGTAATGTAAACTATTCTTGAATGCAAGAAGGAAGCATAATGACTCTAATTATATAGAATATATATGCTATGCTTTCTATTATTTCATGTCAATCCTTCTAGATTATTGTTGCTCAAAACTTGCTTGCTTCTTCTGATGAACTCATATTGTTTTAAAGAACTTCTTTACGAGTCCAATCTCCTAGCTTCTGAGCTGAGGTAATTTAGGGAATTAGTGATATCATATGTCTCGACAGTAAAGAAAAGAATAAATAAAATAAAACCTAGCTAAGGTGCTCCTTTACCAAGAATTTAACCTTCTGTGATCATCCATTTAACAGAAATTAATGAAGACTTTCATTTTGTACCCTTTTCCATTCAACCTTGTTTGATTCCAAATCCTCTCAGTATACAATACTATTCCAATTTCAAGTTTGCTTTCTTAGTTATGTACTAGTTTTGCAGGCAGCAGCACGTACAACTTTTTTTTTTTTTTCTGGATTTCTAAGGCAGTAACATCACAAAATGACTCAAGTTGATATACATCTTCTCTTCCTCCTGTTTTGCAGTGATAAATAGTATCATTAGACTAAACAGTGATTGATATTGAAGGAAACAAAAGGATGTGAAACTGACATTGCTGGGTGCTTTCAGTGACAAAAGATCGCCATGCCAGGACATGGACTAAAATTTATGAGAAAGCACATTGGTGCTTTCATGAGGAGACATGAGTTAAGGTTGGGAATTCCCTTCTAATGTTATTGGGATATAGCTTTCTTTTGGTCCCGATTTGCATTTTGTAGCCATCATGCATCCCTATTCTTAGACCAACTAAACTATGGATTAGAACTATGACAAAGAAAAAATGATGACACCCACATAAATTTAGGAACAGAAAAGATTTGAAAACGAAGGCAACGAAACAAAAGTGATTACACCAGAAATTTAGGAACGAAAAGATGAGGGCACTACGTCTCACGTCTCAAACTTGCGCCACTAGACAGTGAACCAACTCCTCATTCACGAGACAATAAGACAGCAGTGGCAGCCACCTCTCCCATTAGTTTAAATCAAGCTACATTGCCTTGTACGTGTATGATTAATTTAATTTGTTTCCTCTGACATGGTGGAATTTCTAGCGTGGCAACGAAAAGGAGTTTGGAGATTTGGCGAGATTGTTACTTCCTCTAACATGGTGGAATTTCTAACGTGTAATGCGGCAAGAAAAAGGAGTTATGGAGATTAGGTGAGACTATTGGTCTGATCCTCTGTGTCCAATTTCTTCTTAATTGTGTCAATTACCCAAGAATGTGCATTTCAAAAGCCACTAGCGATGGAAGGGGTGCCACTATTTTTTAGATTCATTGGAGGTTTTTAACTTCAAGGCACTCTTTATCATCTTTGCATCATCGATTTGTATCACTACGGGTTTGTATCTTCACCTTGTCTCCTATATAGTTTATCCATATCTCTATTTTGTTTAGGGTTCTATATGTGCTAAATATGTACCAAGTCTTTAGTGTGTAAATTTCCAAGTTGTTAAAAAGAAAACAAGCACGAAAAATAAAAAGGATGTTCAAGTAACAGAAACATGGAGCACGCCAAAGATTTGGAGAATATTCAGTTTCACCATATATACCTTTATGAGAGATGGAAGCCTGGGGGTACTGTGAGATATGATTGTTAAAAACCCTACATTGGTACGTACTTCCATTTTAACCGTGAAGAAAACTTAAAAGCATCAATAATGTTCTTGTAGCTTCTAGCCTTAAACAGCTTATAAAGATGGTTTATGTATCAGCTCAACGTACAGCAGGGGCTTCAAAACCTTAATTAATACGTTATATATTTTTAGGAGACGTTTGGTACAAGAACGTTCAATATTATGTTGGAAAAACATTTCATGTCTCCAATTCTCAAAAATCTCAAATATCATGCGACATTAGATTGTTTACAAAAACAGAAATGTCATTCCCGTCTAAAATATTGATGAGAATTTAAGATGTCAAGGTATTCTATTTTTTTTTTTTCCACTTAAATAACCCTTTTCTATATTAAATTGATTAGCTGATCCTTATTGTCATTAATAATAACATAAATATTTTAGGATATGTATTTCTATTTTTTTAATCTTATATCAAAAAATACAAAGCTACGTATATTATGTAATTTCTTAATATATGTTATTTTATTTGGCAGTTATCATTTTATAAAGTTAAATTTATTATCGAACTCATTTCATTTTTTTAAGTTTTCAAAATAAGTAATTCTTGAGTTGATATTAAAAAAGACAATTATGTTATTTTTAAATTAAATACTTTTTAACTTTTAAAGGTAAAATTGTAACCTTACTCGAAATTTTAACGAATTATCAACGAAATTTAGAATGCAGACTGTAGCAACAGCGTGTAATATCAACCCATTATGAATGTTGTTACTTGGCTATGGTTACTCAATCCCAGCTGCTTGATAAACATGACACAGGCGAAAATACCAAAAGGGGACCGCAAGGGGCATTCCGTCAAACACACAGAAGAGGCATTTTAGTTTTTTTCATATCTCGCCAATCTAGAGCACAGAAGAAGAACAGGATAAATAAAAAGGAACTGACACGAAATAAATAAAAAGGAACTGACAGACCAACAAAACTTAATGCCACAAGTGGCTACACTAGAATCAGTAGAATGGGCTGTGTATTATATTTTGTTGAAGGCAACAATGTCACAGCTCTGGATATATTCATTGCAAGGCTCCACAGTGAGACGCTCCTCAATTAGGTCATCGACGGAGACAAGGTCATCGACAATGGTAAGCATGATTTGTAGCTTCTTGATTCCATAACCAACTGCGACCAATTTTGCTGCAATAAAACCAACACAAGCATTAATGTTATACATTACCGGATGAAGCAGATGAGACTTCAAAAAAAAAAAAAAAAACATGTAAAATCATACATGCTCCCCAAAAGAGACCAGGCATCTCAATACTACGAACTGCCTTCTCCAACTCCACCATGTCTGTCTCATCATCCCATGGCTTCACATCCAAGAGAACGGATGATTTTCCGCCTGGAAAAAGATCAACAGTAAGGCAACAGAATATACAATGACTCTGTACGAGAAAGGGGAAACATCAACAATAGCAAAAAATCAAAACAAGGACACTCGGAAGACTTACTCTCTTTCTTCTTGGATGATCCCTTTTTAGCTTTCTCCCTCTCCTCTGCTGCCTTCTTGTCCTCTTCAGTCTCATCACCAAAGAGATCCAAGTCATCATCGTCATCACCAGCAGCAGCCTGAAATAGAACAGGGAAAGCTTCCAAGTTCAATTCAAAATATCTAGCAGTTAACCTATTTAATGGTGCCACACTAATCATACAAGTTTCGTCAAAGTATTGGAGGTTCCAAATTCCAATTTCAATCGTAGTACAACACGTAAAACTCAGCGTGACTTGTGAATCGACAATAAATAAGAGTTACACCTATCAAACGATGGAATTGAACAATAAGGACCTAGTATCTCTTCTTCCAGAAACATCTTTAAAAAACACCAGTCAAAGTTTAAACTTTAAACCTGCAACGGTGTTCTCTCTCTCTCTCTCTCTCAGAGTCTCTTGATGAAAAGGCAAAAGATAGTTTCCAGTCATTAATGCAAAACTGGTTATCTTGCAACCACAAAGTTGGAAGTTAGAAGCCAATAAGCTTGTAAGTCAACTAGCACTAGTGTCCCCTCCCCCAAAAGGCATGGAATTCAAACCGTCAGAAAAAAAGCTGCAAGTTAGAGCACTCTCATTCTTCCTCCTCCACTTATAGGGTAATAAGCTAAATGGCTTTTAAATCTTTAAATTGCTTTTCTTGTATGCAGGAGGAGCAAAATTAGATCACAACCAATTCATGGACTATTTGATAGTTTGGAGATGCCCAATTGAAAATGCAAACCAGAAATCAATATTCAAACATAAGAAACCAAGTATAATGTGAAAAATTGAAAAGAAAAAAAACCTCCTTGGCAGGGGCAGCTTCAACGGGAGCAGCAGTAGCAGCACCTTTCCCGCCAATTCTCACACCAACAGCTTTACCTGGGAAGCTATGAATCAAAACACACAAACCCCAAAAATTAATCAACAAACCAAATCAAAACATAATCACCCCAAGATTGGAAATTGAATTCCGAAAAATAAAAGAAGAAGACAGAAGAAGTTACCTTGAAGCGAGCTGAGAAGAAACAGATTCGTACCACTTGCTAGCATTAGGGAATTCATCACTAGGTTTCTCCAAAACAGCACCATAAACTTTGATATCATCTCTGGAAATTTGATCTCCCGAGATGTAAGATTTTCCTGCGAGAAACTCATCGAGGTATTTGAGTCCGGATTCTGTGTGGAGATCTGAGAAAGTAACTGCCATCGTTGAGGACAATGATGAGGTGAAAGATATTTTGATTACGAGGAGCAGGAGGCGCAAAAAGAGAGAGTGACAGTGAGTTCGAAGGAGGAGCTTTGGGTGAAGGGTGAGAAATAGTTTATATATGGGAGACCAAAAAAAAGAAAAACCCTAGATTGGAAATTTTGAGATTTGGATATTCTTTTCTTCAATTGGGCTGTGATTCTAATGGACTTTTTCGTTATGGCCCATTTCCTCTGTTTCCAAAAAATCAACATGCATTTTTTTTTTAATTTATAAGAGGATCGTAGTATAATTGTTTTTGTTAGACAATGTTTTTGGGGTCTTTTGGTTTGGTGCTTTTAGTTCTAGTTCCTAGCCACCAAAGTTTAAGAATTATATAACAAGTAACAAATTATCCAATAAATCTTTTTTTAATTGCATATAACCTTTTTTTCTTTATTTCCAATTTTTGTTTTTTTAATATCTGATTAATTATACAATCTTTTCACGCTCATATTTTCATACATTTGGGATTCATTTGAAATTATTATTTTTAAATATCATATAAATGTGAGTGAGGTAAGAATGTATCAAGAATACTGAATAATCTTTAAAATTTTCTCCATTCTAAAATTGAAACAAGAATATTACAATTTTCTCCCATTCATTATATGCGTCCTTATTTTGATTTATAATAACAAATAATTGCATTAAAATGATGCATAAGAAGCGTCTGTAGTCCAACGGTTAGGATAATTGCCTTCCAAGCAATAGACCCGGGTTCGACTCCCGGCAGACGCATTTTTTGTTCAAATTTTTTCTTTCTGTACAATCTACTGTTAAGATCCATCCAAGGAATAAAACAAAAAAATGTTCTATCCTTCAATATTTTTTGCTGGATGATTCTGTCTTCTCTCACACTCATGACTCAATCAAGGAATCAAAGTTCTGAAGCAAAACAAATTCTTTTTACCTTTTGCCAAAGCACTAACTAGTTAGAATTGTCAACCCAAAAAACCGCTGAAAGGTATCATATGCCGACTAGAGCATGCAACAAATGCTCGACAAAACCAAGAGAAGCAAACAGCAAGGACTTGTTCCAGGATTCTTATCGTGATTATTCCTCAACACTTAAACCTAAGTACTCTCCACAACTTTCTTTGTAATCTCTTGTCCTTTTGCACTCGTAAAAATACAAAAACCAGAATGGCATTTGTTAAGTCAAGTTGGCTTACCTTTGGAAGGAACAAAACATACTGACCGCTAAAGTGTTGAAACCTGCAGTCCTCTTCTTGGTTCATAAAAAGGGAAATATATAAGTTCTTGAACTAAATGTGAGTTCTTACAAGGAAATAATACTCTTTTTTGTTTTCCATGGATGGTGCTCAGAGGGTTTTGGTGATCCAAGATGCATCAAGGGAAGTTAGTTCAAGTGCCATCAAGTGGGCTTTGCATGGCTTATCTCTTAAGCCTGGAGATATGCTCACCCTTCTTGGTGTTCTTTACTTGATCAATAACCCTAGTAAGTAATCGTACACTAGAACTCATCTGCAAGGCGAAATGTGTAGCAAATTGATTTTGGGATGAACTGATCAAGGGACTAACTCCTTTTTGTTCATAAAGTTATTCCCAAGCAAGGTCCAAGAGTTTTATGCCTTCCGGATTTTTCCTTTTTGAATCTACTCTTGTATTTATTATTGTGTGTTTCTTTGTTCTAAATTTTGTAGAGGAACATAAAAGCAGAGTAGATAGTTCCATGTTTGGAGCAAATCAGAAAATTGTTGACAGAGAAGTTTCCAGGAAGATAAATGAGTACGAAAACCATGTAGAACTCAAGGAGCTAACCCAGCTGTATGAAACGCACAAGGTATTTAGCCACTTAACCTTGCAAAATCTGGGAAGAGGCAACTCAGGCTTCTCCTGGGATCTCTAGCTAGCAAAAAATATTCACAGTAAAGAAAATTGAGTTCTAATTATGGTATTTTAGGAAAATCTAATAAGGATTTTCCATGGAATCCCAGGTTGAATTGAAGATAGAGGTGGCTACAGGACCTTTGCCAAAGGCAGTAGGTCTAAGAATAGCTCAAGATTTGAAGGCAACGTGGATTATACTTGACAGGTCAGGCATATAGAACTGCACTGTTACAAAGTGGTCAACTGCTTGTTATATCCAACTCTTGCTATGCTACTAATTGTAATGTACGTCTCCATTGCAATTTAAAATTTCCAATTTGAATGTCCTTGAACGTTTTAAAAAAAAATTAGTAATTAACCAATAAATAACCTAGTCGATTGAATTTGAGAGGCAGCCGAAACTCTATGCACTGTCACATATGTTCATGCTTCCCTTGATATGCTACTGGATATGGCGATTTCTCTTCATTTTCTTTACATAATTGATTTCTTAAGTCATCAGTGGTCTAAACAGCTTTATGAACTGATCCAATATTGTAAAATTTAATGATCTCTACACAGAAAAATGAAAAAAGACAGAAAATACTTCCTCCGAAATCTTTCATGCGGGATATCGAGGATAAAACGCAACAACAGCATTGAACAACTGAGAGGACCAAGACATTCAACGGAAGCCAATCTAAACGAAAGAGTATGTAACAGCCGTCTAACTTATGATCACAAAATGATTCCAGGATCCCCAGAAGAGCAAGAACTTTTCAGCATTGAAATTCTCCCTACAAGTAACTTAGCCACTTTCAATATTTCATCCTTTTGTTGTTTTGACTGTAATAAGAAATTCCTCTTTAAGTGTGCAGGTCACCCTTCGGTGCCTATGGGTAGACATTCTAATTTTTATGTTTTTCTGCCAATTTTTTTTGCATTTCTAGTACTTTTAGGATGCATTGGGTACATTTTTCAACATTTACTATGATTCATTGTAGGTCAAACAGAAGTTATTCATGTAAGCCAGGGTGAAGGGCTAACACAGAGCAGCTGCACCGAGGAAGAGATGGTGGAAGGTTGGCAACCTGAAGAAATATTTAAAAATTCAATATGTACCATTTGCAAGAACAGGAGACCAAATAGTGGATGGATAAGGGACTTCACATTTGAAGAACTTCAAGCTGCTACAGATGGTTTTTCGGCAAAGAACACTATATATGAAGGTGGAATTGGTATTGCTTGCAGAGGTAAGCTGAGAAATTATCTGAAAATTGCTGTTAAGCAACACAAATCTACAAGCCATCCAGGAGAAGCGAATTTCAAATCAGCAGTTCATCGGCTCAAGAAAGCTAGACATGAGAATGTGCTCATGCTAGTGGGAACCTGTACAGAACTAAGCGTCAGACTGCTTGTATATGAGTATGCATGCAATGGTTCAGTTAACCAGCACATATCAAGTAAGTAAAATCTATTTTAACATGAACTTGCAATTGAATCTTTACACAGAAGCTCAATTTCTTTTACCGCTGACATTGAAGAACTCTTAGAATAATACTAGGTAAAATCTCTGGCATGATGCAGAACATTGCCCCTTACCTTTGACATGGACAGAAAGGATGAAAGCAGCACTGGGTGCTGCTAGAGGTTTAGACTACCTGCATAAGAACAACATAATTCATGGAAACATGATAACAAACAGCATTGTTCTAAATCATGACTTTGAACCAATGGTAATGTAATGACTCAAATCTAGGTATTGAATTACTATTGAATCAATGTTAAGACACCCCTTTTCATACCTCAGAAACTTAGTACTTTTTTTTGTCATAATGTTCAATGCATAAATCAGCTTGGAGATTTTGGCGTTTCAACTGAACATCCATCAGATGATGAAGATTTTGAAACTGGACACATAGCCCCAGAATATAAAGAAAATCGGAAACTTTCGACAAGGACAGATGTCTATGCTTTTGGCATTGTCCTACTGGAGCTGATCACTGGTAGGGATGCTGCAAAGAAGAAACCAGGGGGAAAAGGTCTTGTGGAATGGGTAACAATCAAAATACTATACATTTAATTTTGGAAAGTTATCTCCCAACAAAAATTACCAAAGATAGAATGACTAAAAAGATTCATTTCACCTTAAGAATATGCTGATGTATGAGAAATCCCATCTCATTTGGAACCTGTCAAATTTGTTTAGATTTTCTAATCCATCAAATTTTTTCATTGCTTTACCTTAATTTAATTACATTATTGTGCCCAGTTTTACCATAATGATTCTTGTACAGGTATGGCCATTTCTGAAAGACAAGAGGCTTCTTGAAATAATTGACCCCAGAATTGCCAACTCCCATGATTCTGAACAGCTTTACTGGATCGGTCGAGTGACACAGAAATGTCTCAGCAAAAATCCTAAGAAACGATTAACCATGGATAAGGTAATTTCTTAGAGCTTGTCAATGAAATACAACCGCAGTTTGATTCATACATTGGCATCAGTCAGATAAACAATGGTATATAATTCTGCAAGGAATTGAAATATTTGTATAGAATTTTTTTTTGTTTTTTCCTGACAGTGTATTGTCTACTTACTTCATTTCAGGTTGTATCTGCACTAGAATGCATCGCAAAGAGAAAATCATGCCAAGTGATTCAAGATCTTGCTGCAGCCAAATCTTATTTCTACAGCAAAGTTGAGTGCAACGGGTCTCGAAGGTACGAGAAATTATTTAAACGAGACAGCTTCAGCAGAGAACAAGACAATGAAAGCCGAAGGAGCAGATCATTTTCATTTAATTCAGCAAGTTTCAGTAGGAGTAGGAGCTCTACAAGTAGTGAAATCAGTGAAAAAATGTGGAGAGAAAGATCAGGAAATAGAATACCTCTGCATTATGCAGAAATGCTTGACTAAACACCAGTTATAGTTTTCACAATTTGATTTGTATCTATACTTCAATGTTTGTGCACTAATTTAGAATTGTTATGACTGTCGCTATACGATAGAACAAACGAAATTGATGATTAAATGGAATCTTTTAGCATCTAGATCTTGAAGATCAACATCAGAACAAAGATTATGATTGCCAATGCCGGCAAACTTAAGGTGATTTTGTACAAAATAAGGCAAACTGGAAGGTAAAAGAAGAAGAAGAAGAAGAAGAAGAAAGAAAGAAACAGCTAAATATGACATGATATGATGCTGGCACCAAGTTCACTTGCATTTTCGATGATTAAAGGTGCCCGAAGTTCTCAATGATTTCAGAAAGAATGACGTATCCAGCACCTCCCATGACCAGAGAAAGGGTAACTTTTCCTCCAGGAACCAGTTGTGGCAGTTTGATTGATGGTGATGAACTTGAGTACCTGTCTGACCATGCCATTGCAGCAGGAATAATTCCAAAGAGCACCAATACTAACAAAAACATGGAGAAATTAAGACATGTTAGTCCAAATTAAGTTCTTAAACTTGCACAAATTAATAATCATAGAAATGAAAAATAAAATAAAAAAGGGCCTGCATGTGATTTGAACAAACTCTAGGATAATCTGAACATACAGTAGAATTTTAACAGAAAGGACACTGAAAAAGATTACTTTACTTGCGTACCTCCATATGTTCCTGCAAAATCTAAGGCTTTAAAGAAAATTTCAGGGTCCAGCAATGCTAACACCATTGGTGGAATCAAAGTCAAGATGTAGGGCAGAGGCTTGTTCTCACCAGCTGGGAGTTTCAGCACTGAATATTAACAAAAATAACAAACTAATTATCTTCTTAAATAATCCAATCATTATTCATTACTAATACCAGCAAACAAATTCAGAAACTGCCAAAAAGAGTTCTGTCACCCTATTGACACGAGCACTGAAAGAAACATGGAAAGAAAATAAGAGTGTGAAAAATGAAAAATGCAAGAGAAAAATAAGCAGTTTTGAACCAAGAAATACTTTTACATGATGAGATGTGCATATTTATAGTTTATCACAATTATTATTTTAGTTTTGGTGGAGATTCAACTCACAGTCGGCGAGGAAGTCAGAAAGGCCCAAAACAAAACCAATATAAGATGTTCCAATTGCAAGGAATGAGAAAGCCTCAACTATCGGCTGCAGAATATAAAAAACAAACAAAGGCCATGTTAATTCATCAAGTCCTTCACAGGACGTTTAGAAGATGAGCTTAAGAGATTAGCAAATTTTTGGAAGCACTTACTCCAACAACTCCATTGCTGGATCGCAACTGTTGTAATGGATCAGCAATCTTTTCAGCCATCTCAGGAATGGATCCAAGAATAACACCATCCCATACAAGAAACAAACCAAGGGGAATAGCTGTGCCTAGAACAATGGCAGTCCTGAAAACAGAAAACCTGATGATCTATACTTACAGTATACACAACTGCAGCGCGAAATCATAAGTACATTAATGTCATTGACATGCCTACTGATGACAGGGGAATGCCACTTGATAATTATTTTTAAAATTCCTGACAATCAGTATTAAGCATGTATTTACACTTTCCATGGGTTTACTCTAGTGTCAAGCAAAGACTCGACACTGAGAATCATTGAGTGGCTATGTAAAGAAGCTTAAAAATAAGATTCAATACAATAAACACTGTAAGTATAATAACAAGCAAAATTGTGATGATAAGATCTGTCACCTTACTTTTGAAAGGTTTCCTTCAAGATTTGTGCAAAGAACAGGTACTACATTCTGAACAAAGCAGATATAAAACGTTACAACTACTTCTATGTTGGCTAGCTATGGGCTGGTAATGTTACCTGATAAACAAATGAAAGTGCAATAATGGGTATACTCATAGGAACAGCTGCAAAGTTGGCTTTCGAAAGAGCATCTAAATGCAGGTCTCCACTTGCAGCCACCTAAGAAACAAAATTTTAAGTTCTCTTGGTATATGACAAGCAAAGAAGCACACTTTCTACTTCACAAAATCATTTGATAGAAATAGTTGCAAAAGAATGGTGAACGAGTAAACAAACATGACTGGAGATGCAGAAGACTGCTGTTTATCCCTTGGCCTCCAATTTTCCTTGTTTATCCTTTCATTTTTTTTTAACTTTTCTAGGGAAGAGGTAAATTTGTAATGGAAATCTATGTATGAAGTGCAGTTTGAATTAAATCTTTTTAATTATACAGAAACATTAAAGAAATTCTATTCACCATGGGTTCTAAAGTAATTTTTTTATACAGCAGCTTTACCATGAAGAAGCCTGGCCACTCCAAACTTTCCCTTAACCCACTAACTCAGACAATTCTACTACAAATGTAGTATAGCAACCTTAAAAGCGCATTTAACAAAGAAATGCATGAATTTCTAAAGATATGGTTGAGGACTTTAATACTTCTCTTTCATGATCTCCTGCACATTTTACACATCAGCCAATTCAGGACAATCCGCTCTCGTAAGATATTGCTTCAAGGGATTCCAATGATTAACACCGTCAATTGGTTAACATTTCTTAAGCACATGTATAATGTTTTATTCAGCAGCGAAGATCATAATAATCTGTAGTTGTCTACGTGCACGGAAAGTGAAATTAATAATTCATAAAGACAATTACCACAAGAGATGTAAAAGAAATGATGATTCCAGATACTAGAACTCCGCTGACAGCACCAATTAAGCGCTGACTGCAAATTTAAGTTGGAAATGGTATTAACTTTTCTTCATTCAATTGACGGAGAAAGAGAGATAGTGATGCTTGCAGAAGAAGCATGAATTAAATCTGATCCCCTGCAAAATTCTACCAGATCTCAAGATGCAACATATTCATATATCATCATATATTTGTACCAAAACTTAAACATTATGGTATATTACACCACATCTACATGGACCACAAATAACTGCCAAATTTAGAAGTTAATTCCAATAAAACTTGAGGAATAAAGCTAGCTTTGCGAATATCTCCTATAATGGAGCAGATATCATCATAAAGTATATCCTTCGTCAATTTTTCATTCTTTTCCTATACAAAGTAGAATCTGAAGAAGCAAAACTGGCAACTTCATCACAGGAAAGTAGTAAAGTGCAAATGCCAAGCTTTAGCAGTACATAAAAAGGGGTACTCATTCAATGCAGTCCAAGCAGTCAATTGACTCGGACTTCTACAATAGCTTTGAATTGTCTACGATGCAGAAACTCCTTATGCAGACATGACAGAACAATGCAGGAATTGATGATTTTAAGTTACACCAGCATAACATTGCTAATATGACTCAATGCATCTAATAAATGCTTCTAATTCATCAAGTTTGAGGATATACGAGGATGCATAACCAACCTTCCAAAGTAGCATATGCCTCCAAATACTAAAGAGAACAAGGTTGCACTTTCCCATCTGCAAGCACAATGCAACCTGTCAGCACCAAAGAAATGCATGAAACGTTGATAAAAATAAATTGACAAAGACTGCTGATGAAACAGCAAAGTGAGACATACAAATTAGGGCGAACAGTTAGGCATGCTAAAAATCTAGAATTATGGTTCGTACAATGGTATGCCGAGAAAGTTTGACAAAATATCTGAAGAACGTGCCACATACGCAATTAGAAGGGCATAATGGATGAATATGTATGACCAACTGCAAGACAAATACACAATTAATGATCTTTATGGTTGATTCATGTCAAAATAACTTAAACTGCAAGCACAGTGCATAGAGTATGTGTCTGAAATTTCATGAGCTAGAGAAACTTTTGCTCTCCCTTTCTCATCCTTAGCAAGTACTCCATATAATAAATTTTTACTTCAAAAACCTATTTTCATTAAAAATTCACAATACTATCACTGAGAGGCCTAAAAGGCTGAAAGAATAAAAATGACTTAATAGCTTACCAAGAAAATTGAACTCCTGCCGCCCCAAGAGTTCTCTTGGCCATTGACACCTGAAATCAGCCAGCAGAAAGACAGATTTATAAGCTAAATAGAACATATCAGTGAACTAAGATACGAAGTAAACAATAGTATATCCACTCCTTTCTGAAGAATATTATAGTATATATCTTCAAAGTAGCTTAATCAATAAGCATTTGATGCTGATTATGGAGCTAATTAGATCGACTTTAAACTGAATAAGCTAGCAATCCATACATACAAGCAGAGATTTGTATTTTCATGCCATGGCTTGCTAATCATCAACATCCATTTACTTCTTTCATTATCAAGTCTAACACCTATAGATGGTTTAAAATAATCAAAGAGTTCAAATCTCATTTCAGCATAGAAGACAGGAAGAATTTCAATCAAGACAAATTTAAAGGGAGATCCCACAAACATCATCTACTAATTTAATCCTAATTTTATCACAAAATTATCATAGAAATACAAAACAAAAAGTGCAGAAATTAATTTCAATTCTAGAAAGCTCTTACCAATGAGACACCACCTGAACCCAATTCACACATAGTGTTCACATTTACTTCAGCAATGAGCAATCCAGTAGTAACCTGCACAGTAAAAAGCAAAAATCACCAAATTAAGACCATAGAGGACTAAGCAGAGGGCAGTCCAAAATAGTTACACTTAAACACAATGACAAAATCAGACTCTTGCATTACATAGAGTAAAAAAATATCATAGATTGCCATCATGGATGAACTAATCTAGGTAAAGATTGTTACCATAAAGATCCAGCAAAGAATGCAAGCAACAGAAGAGGCCAAAAATCCAGATTCTTGTGTCACAGCAGGAATTGCCAGAATCCCAGCACCTACCTAGATAAAGGAGATACTTAGCTGTGCTAAAAGTACAAAAATATGCATAAACTCATGCAAGAAGAATACACACATACCGTAGTGCCAGCTACCAGAAAAATTGCACTAGATAAACTTCCTGACAAACACAGAAAAACAACATGAGTAACAGCTTACAAATGAGACAGAATCAACGTATTAAAAAGAACTGGGGTACCAGGTTCTCTCTTCAGCGTGGCTTGGTTAAGGTTAGAGAACAGCCTTTCAACTTCATACTCTTGTTGTTGGCTTTGCGACATGCATTGAAAGGACGTTCTTGATAAATACTGGTGATTTGTCTGTATGTGTTGAAGTGGTCTTGATGATGTCCATTGTCGTGGAATGTGCAAGAATTTTTGCTTTCTGCTTGATGGAGTTATTGCAGCAAGTGTTGGAATTTGTAAACAACGAGGAGGCAGAGGCAGAGACAGAGACATCTTTTCTCTCTGTTGTTATTATACTATTAGCCTGTGTTGGTTGCTCTCCTGCCTTCTTCTTCAGGGGATCGGGAAACGAGAATGAGGAAGAGTAGTAGGATAACTGAAGCAACAGAAATCAAGATAACGTGGGCCAACCTTTACTGATTTCTTCACCTCCAGTAGAAAGTACAAAAGAGTCGTGGCAATTCTCAATTTCTCATCCTATGCTAAATATTACAAAAAAAAACTTAAAAACATGAGGTTTCCCATTGCTAAACTGTTCACTCTCATTGTTAGTACTATGTACTGAGCTGTTTTCTTTTCTTTTTTTTTTTTTTTTTTAATTCCTTTGTCTTGTAACCAGCTTCTTTTTTGTTTTTAATTACTATAATCGTCACTCGATGGATTTATGAAAATCCACAATTACCTTTAATTGATTTTCTTTTTAATTTTTTTTAAACCTTTTTTATCATTTCACTTTGTTTCTTTTTTTCTACACTATAAATAATCTTTTCTTTCATTCTTAATTATACTTATTGTCACTTAGTGAATTTGTGAAAATTCACAATTACCTTAAATTGATTTTATTTCTCTTTTAGTCCTTTTTCGTCAATTCACTTTCTTTCTGATAGAACATTTAATGTTGCTATCATTGCCTTTTTTCTTCCTTATTTGTAGGGATGAGTAAATTGCTATTCTAGAGTAAATTATAAATTAGTCCCTCTTTCTTAGTAAAACAAATTAATTAGTTTATCTAATTTCAAAAACTAATTTTTTTATCCTTTTTTCTACTTTTCAATTTTTTTTTAACTTTTTGTTTTAAAAAATAAAAAAAGACAAAAATGTTAGTTTTTGAAATCGGATGGACTAATTAATTTGTTTTCCTAAGAAAGAGAGACTAATTTATAGTTTACTCTAAAATAGCAATTTACTCATTTCTACGAAATAAGGAAGAAAAAAAAGGCAATGCTACTATCCTACGAAATTAGATGGATTAATTTTTTTTCTTTTTTTTTAAGAAATAGAAAAGAAAAAATAGATAAAAATATGAAAAAGATTGATGAAAAAAGAAAAATTTTAAAAAAATAAAAAAATAAATTAATCATGGTCAATGCTTATTTAAAAAAATTAAATAATTATTTTTTAAAATCAAAAGGACTAATTAATTCATTCCTTAAAGCAAGAGAGACTAATTTATAATTTATCTATCGCTATTTTCGCATCAACTACATAAAATAGTACAAGTAATATATAATTTGCAACAACAACAAGACTTTTGCACTTAATAAATATATCTATAGCAGCTAATAATTTTATATTTTGTTGGATTGTAAACAAAATATACATAAATAACCAAGAATGAGGACCCATTTAATTTGTATTGTTGTTGTGCGGGTGAGGAATTCTTGATTCGAGTGTGCCCTTGATAGAACTATGAATGAACATCTAACTTGCATTGTAATTAATTATTGATAGTATTTAGTTTATAATTAATTTTTTATTTTTTATAGTGGTTCAAAATTCAATATGTCTTAATAATATTTTTTTCTTATACTCTTTTAACTATTAGTTATTAATTATTAAAATCAAATTTTGACTCGCTTAATAAATGATTATGGGTTGTAGAGTTTTATTAATTAAAACACTAAAAAAAGAACTAATTCACAATACCCAATTGCATTGCTCACTATCACTAAATTCTACTATTTATTTTCATTGTTTATCGGTATTTTTGCAATTTAATCTATGAGGTTTTTAGTAAAAACAATTTGATCCCAAACTTTATTTATATTGCCATATGGTCCTTAAATACTTATAGGAGATAGAAGAAAAGAGAGAGATAGAGAAAAGCGAGGGCCATTCCCACCACATCTATTGTTGATATTACCATTAATTTATTTTTCTTAAAAAATAAAATTTGTTAGTGGTGGTTACAAGTCAAGAAATGACTTGAAGATGTAAATCATGTTACGAAAATATTTTCAGTTTTTTTAGTTTGATTTGAATTTTTATATGTTTTGTGTGCATTAAAATAAATTTTAAGACTCTAAAATAGCTTTTTAACACTATTTTTATGATTGTCAGCTTTTTTTAAAAAAACAAAAGATTGAATTTGGCTTTGCGGAAGCCAAAAACAAAAAAAAACATGATTTTTCGACAACGTTGTTATTGAACACTAGCTTGCTAGAAATTGCAAGTGGTTTTTTTTAAAAAAATCTTTCCTAATAGGGTTTACTCCTCTACGCCTGAGCACGAGGGCCTAGTTCTTAGCTGGACATCTTTTTTGTTTTTTTTTCAATTTTTTTCTAAATATTTTTAGGCAAATATTCTAGAACGTCAAATGCTTTTTTTTTTTTCCTCATGCGAGTCGACGAGAAACAAATATATATGATATATTTTTATATTTTAAATTATATGATTTAAAATTTCTTTTTTCAATTTGTCATTTCTTATAGAGATTGTTATTCAATTAATTTTTATTTTAAATATTATTTATTGTTCTCTATGTATGGATTTTACATAAAATTTTAGAATGTGATTATTTTATTTTAAAAAATAAATTTATATAAATTATATGATGAATTCTTAAAATTTTTAAATGACAATAGCATACATGTGTGTGTGTGTGTGCGCGCGCGCTAAAAAATATATATGTTAAAAACATTCGGAGAATTTGTATTAGATTTTTTGAAAAAATAATTCATAAAATAAATTTTTAGTTAAAAATTCATGGAGTTTTAGATTTTCTTTTTAAATTATTACAAGTTTTTTGTTAAGAAATAAATAAATAAGAATAAATATGTTTTTTTACAAAAAAATTATGAAAAATATAATGAATAATTAATTAAACGTATAATTTCAATAAAAATAATAAAATTGAATAGATTCTTTTAAATCTATGTTTTAATATATTTTGGTTGATTCATAGTTTAGTGCAAATCTTCAAAATAAAATAATTTTACATGTTATATTCAATCCGCGAGTGTAGTGCGGATGAAAATCTAGTTAATGCTATTTCATGATGATTTTAGAAAGAAAAAAAAACATTTATTAAACTAGCAAAAGATGGAAGCAAGTCCTTATCTTTTTTCGCATAGAAAAAATTCAATAGGATACAAAATTTATCTAATTCATAATAAAACAACATATTTATAGTATAATACTAGTGTAGTGTCTCCCGCGTTGTCGTGGACAACCTTATAAAATTTGTCTTAATATTCTAATAATTATAAAAAGCCAAATCAAAATTAATCCATACTAATTGTAAAAAAAATTAATTAATTTATATTTTATAGTATTTAATATCATATGCATTTTTATTTTGAGTTTAAATATATTTTATGAATATCTTTGATTTTGATAAATAAATAAAAAGCGAATATGAAATCAAATATTATATTACCTAAAAATATAATTAAAAGAATCAACAATGAAAGGGTATTCGGGCAATCCATATCGGTAAGATGCTTAATTTTGATTAATTTGCCCATAACTCTTGATTAAAAAACATAAATCTACTTGATAATTTTTATTATTATTCCACACCAACGTAATTTTGTACATAATTTTTTTTAATACATCTTAAAAAATTATAAGCAATTTTGAAGTGACATATAATCAACTAAAAATTAATATAAAAGATGATAAATAATTAACTTTCTAATACTTGTTATTTAGACTATTTTTTCTTATGAATGTTAATCTACATTAGCGTTCATCTTTAGGTTAAAGAAAAAAATGGTTGTTCTATCAATTCTGAATTAATGTTATTGTCATTAAATCTTTGAAAACCATGCAACTTAAATTGATTAATTATTAATTATCAGATCTTTATTATCGTATAAAAAATTAGCAATTAACCATTGTTTTTCATCATAATGATTATTTTTTATACTAAGTGTCAAAAAAAATCAAAATCAAAATCATGAAAAATATGAGATTCTATGCAAAATAAAAAAAATACACATTAATTATTTGGAAAAATTGATGTTGAGAAAATAAAAAATCAAAGAAGGAAAAAAAAACTTAAAAAAAAAACATAGGAAAAAAAGAGAGGAGGGCTGCTGTGTGCCCCAACAGATATAAATAAGGAAAAAAAAAAGAAGGAAAATGACACGTCGTCCGCCCTAGCGTTGTAAGTGGTTGCGCTGCAACTTCTGAACAATCCCACCCCCACCACCACCACCACACACACATCTAACAATTTTGTCACTAAAAATTCCACAGATCGATGTAAAAACTCATTTTCAACCTCAAAACGTATCCCATTCCATCCTAGAAACTCAAAACAAACTGAACCTTCTTCTCTCATGTCTTCTCTCTCCTCCCTCTGCATCGAGGGACCTAGCTCTAATGGAAATAAAGTTGAGCAAACCCAGAACACCAAAAAACCAATGTGAAATCATTTCTAAAATGTAACTTGAATCTTTTGTCAAAAAAGGCATGCTTTTATCAAAATAACATCATTTTCAAGTAAAAAAAGGGAAAAAAAAGCTCAAAATAACGTAGTTTTGATGGTACTGTAACAGGGATTTAACTAAAAATAATCTATATTGTTTTGGTTTCTTTGTAATAATATGATATTTAAAAAATAATAAAAATATTTAGATCTAGATATTTCTTTTTAGGTAATCTAAAAAGTTCAACCAGCAATTGACTGCATAAAAACTGGTCTCGTCAAGTTTTTTGAATTTTATTTTTCAAAATATTGAAAATTGTAATTTGATTTTGAATATACTTTTACAATTTAATTATGGATTAACTATTATCTAACTGTATTTATTGTTAAATTATATATATAAAAAAATGAAAATCAAATAAAAGGTATTGATTATAAACATTAAATAATTGCTATTTTATATGTTATATATTTTTAAATGTTAATGATAAATTATATAATTAAAAAGAAAAGTGAACTTTGATTTGAATAATTAAATAAGTCTTAACGAATGCTTTAGAGATATCCATGAGCGGAATCCTAAAAACACCCACCAGAGGGACTCTGAAGATCTGAAGAAATCTTATTTAAATTGAAAAGAATTTACTTTTGACTATCTAATATATTAAAGTTATTTTCAACATAATTTACTTGGGATTCTTATGATATTAATTTGTATTCTTTTCCTACATATACAAATTGTCTATTACATCAAAATAGCCAACACATATCGGCTAAAAATACGACACACTATTAAATTACAATACTTCAAACCCAAAAAGGTTAATTTGAGTGAAAAAATTATAATCGTTTAAATAAATGATTTTGAATTTGAATTCTTGTATATGTAAAAAACTATACGGAAAACTATCTCCACCTTGTGCGTCCGATAAAATAGCTAAGAATTGGTCCAGGTTTTTAGATGTGGGATACCTTAAAGTAGGGATGATAATGGGCTTGGTATGAAACGAGTATTTGCTTTACCCGACCAAATAAATACCCATTAAGAATGTCTAATGAGTATTGAAGTGGATAAAGATAAATAAAAAAAAAATTCATTAATATGGTTTTAGGATATGGATACCCACTCTGTATCATATTAATAACCACTAATTTATTTAGATTTTTTTATTAACATACAGAGATTTAATTACATAAAATTTAAAAACTAAAAATCAAAATATTTTTTTCAAAAACTTTGAGACCAAAAAAAGGTTATTAATAAACAACCAAAACGCAAAAAAAAAAAAAAAAAAAAAAGTATAAAAAACTTGTCTTGAAAATTATGAGGACTAAAATAAATATTTTTGACAAATTAAATTTAATGGGTATTAAATGGATATAAAATAGACTGGTAAATTAATATGAGTCAGGTATGGACTTTGTAGAGATTTATACTTAATAGATAACGGGTAGGATATTCCTTTTATAAGTAGAATAAAAACTAAATTAATAGGTGGGGTATTTGTCAATTACTATCCCTACCTTGGAGGATAAAAAAAAAAATACAATACTTCAATAAATAAATAAAATCAGTGCATTTACTGAAAATAAAAACAATTTCAGTACATACACTGAAAAAAAAAAAAAACAAAAACATAGAGACAGATACTGATTTTGCAGTGGGAGGTGAATTTAAATGAATTACTCTAATATGCTGATTTTATAGTAAATTATTATTTGATTCCGGAGTTTTTAGTGAAATAATTCGTCCATTTGTTTGGTTTAATTTTTTTTCAATATTTGAGTCCTATTTTTTCATATTTTTCTGAATCCTTGTGTTGTTTTTTTCATACTAATTTAATTTTTTTGTTCTCTAAAATTTCTTTTATTTCTAATCAAAGTTTTCAATATCACCTAGCACTAACAAAATAAAAAATGCATTTAAAAATAGTAATTCATAAATTTAAAAAAGAATTAACAGTCAACTTTGATCAATGAACTAATTTATGATTTTCAAAACCAAAAAAAAAACTTCCAAAATCATAAAAAAAAAAAAACACATGACTAAATTATAATTTATTCCTGATTTTAATATGGATTAACCTATGTAAAACTCTATTAAAAATAAAACGAGTTAATTATAATTTAGCTCCTGTAGTTTATTAAAATTAAGTAACTAATCTTTGTAGTATTTCAAAAATTATTAAATAATCCCTCAACTGGCATTGACTATCCTACATTAACTAGCTTTTGGTCCAAAAATACATATACATACATATATATATATATATATATTTTTGGTAATTAAATCTCTTCATCTTACCTACTTATCTTTTCTTTATTCTATTTTTCAAGACAGAAAATAGCAAAATAAATTGAAAAAAAGATATGAAATTCACAAAAGGAATACATTACAAAAAAAAAAAAAAAAAAAAACTATAGGGATCAAACATATAGTTTTTAAACCCAGAAGAATTAATCAATCATCATGCACCAACCAAGAGAACCATAACCCCTGCCCTCATGTTTCACAACTGATGTCTCCCTCCTAGTCCCAAACAAAAGAAAAATTCCACACAAGACGCCAACCAACGTATAAACATTTTATGCAAGAAACGAACTCCAGTATCATGCTCGGCAGTCATACCAAATACTATCAAATTGAACCTTGAATTTCACTATTTTAACACTGAATTCATGTGTCTGTGAAGGCTATGATGACAATAGCAAGAGGAACACAAGCATCCATGGCTTCTTCTCATCTTCTGTGCAATACTTTTCATTTTCAACCATCTTGCAATCTATCAAGTAAAAGCAATATCTCTTCGTTTAAGCCAAGTGGGTCCTTTTCTTTTTGTCAAAAACTTCAATTTCAAAAGACCCCAGTTGTTAAAGCCACAAGAAAACAAGTAGAGGTGTGTGCTTCTGGTTTAGAATTATTTGTTGTTTGTGTTTTGGGCTCAAAATTTTCAGCTTTTTTAATTTTATTTTTTTAGTTTGTTTTCTTTGGTTGGTTTTGCTTTCATTTTGGCATAGTTTGTTGTTTATGCTCTGAATTCAAGTTTTGAACTTTTTCGGGTTTTTGATTTTGGTGTTTTTGGTGGGGTAATTTAGCTAGTGTATGATCCTGATGAAAGGATAAACAACTTGGCTGATGAGGTGGATAAACAGGCTCCTCTTTCAAGGCTCACTCTTTTCTCACCTTGCAAGGTTTGTTAGTATTCTCATGCTTTGCTTGTACTTGACTTTTATGATAATTAGGTTTGTTTTCATAATTTGTTTATGTACATTTTGGTATTGTTATTTGGTGTAGATTAATGTTTTCTTGAGAATAACCAGTAAGAGAGAAGATGGGTATCATGATTTGGCATCTCTATTTCATGTAAGTTTGTTCAAATTTAAGCGCTGTATGCCTGCGGTTTTCTTGTTTGAGTTGTGGACACTAGCATACATTAGTAAAATCGGGAAAAAAATCCTTATTGATTTAGCATTTTTTTTTTAATGCTGCCTTCAGTTTTAGTTTTTCTGTCATTTAAATTTCCAAAAATTCATAATTTGGCCGTTTTTGTCCCATCAGGTGGTTAGTCTAGGAGATTTAATTAAGTTCTCTTTGTCGCCATCAAAAAGCATTGATCGATTATCAACCAATGTGTCTGGTGTACCCCTTACTGAAGATAATTTGGTAAGGGATAAATAATTTTCTTCTTCTTCTTCTTGTGTCGCTTTCTGATTTTCTTGTGAACTATATTTTCTCATGACTTTCTTCATGCAGATCATTAAAGCCCTTAATCTTTACAGGAAAAAGACAGGCACAGACAACTTCTTTTGGGTAAGAAGTGCTATTCGTTAGTGTTGAAGATTGCTTTCTTGATATGAACTTAGTAATTGAATGATCGTAAATATTCTTATTTTGAATTTTGTTGGCAGATCCATCTAGACAAAAAGGTGCCCACTGGGGCTGGGCTTGGTGGTGGGAGCAGCAATGCTGCAACGGCTCTGTGGGCAGCAAATCAATTCAGTGGTTCTCTAGCTACTGAGAAGGAACTCCAAGAATGGTCAAGTGAGATTGGTTCAGATATCCCCTTCTTTTTTCTCATGGAGCAGCCTACTGTACTGGTCGTGGTGAGGTATGTATGAATTTTGGTTTAACAAGTACTCAAAGACATTGTTCATTATTTCAATTCATGTTTTGATCATGCTCTTAATTAGTTGCAGATGAAGGGCGATCTTTCAATTATGGACTTGATTGAAACTTTCCTCACTCTTTTGAGAAAGTTAAATCCAGTTTTTTATTTTGTTTTTGCTAGGAATAAGATGCTTAACTTTGAAGTTCTTTGGATTCATGAGTATGGTTGCAAACCATCCCCTTCCTTTAGGACTGAGGGCTGATTTGGTTTAGTCTTGAAGACTGTGGGGAGCCACTCGTGGTGTTTAGGTGTCATTTTCTGTTTGGTACCCTTTAGTTGTGATGTTATATCATGCATAGATAGAATGGCCCTAATTTGGTACCAACCAAACTAGTTTTAGGCTTCTAGACTAGGCAGAATGAAGGAAAAAGATTCATGTGGCCAACTTCAACCTTCTTGGAATTAAAACTTCGGGGAGTTGAGTATCATGCATACAGGATTGGGCAATGTCTGGATTAGTAATACAAAATCGTGCATCAAGGAAATCATTTGAAAGTTAGGCAAGCAGTGGGGGGAATTATAACTTCTTCCGGCGAAACAATATTAATTGCTTAAATTAATTTCTCATGGTTACTGTTGAAGGAAATGCACACCCCTTTGCAGTTATAGATGCCTTCTCAATTATGCACGTCTAAAATGCAATTCTTCTGTTTAGTTACAGAACTTACCAAAGTTGTTGCTCTGGTATTTCAGATTGTTCAAGATATTCCTTCACCAGTACCTTTGGACATTCCAATGGTTCTCATAAAGCCGCCACAGGCATGTTCAACTGCAGAAGTTTACAAGGTAATTCAGTGTTAGTGTTATGGAATAGAAAACTCTTTGCGCTTCTTTAATATCAGCACATTTCTTGATGGGAGAACTTTTTGGTTTTTCAGTGCTTTCGATTGGATAAAGCCAGTCAAGCTGATCCTGTAACATTGCTGGAGAAGATCTCAAGGAATGGAATATCTCAAGATGTTTGTATCAATGATTTGGGTATGAATCTGCAGATACATGAGCTTGCAGCCTTTTCGTTCTCCTTCATCAAAATATGAAGTCATTTTTCTTTCTTTCTTCAATCATGTTGCTTCAGATTAGGTAAACCTGCACCAAAACCTTTGTTTGTTTCAGATGTGTATGCATTTTCATCTTTTCTAAATCTTTGCTGGATAACCAGTTTGGTTTTGGTTCTTAGCACAACAAGTGAATAATGAAGTAACTGGAAACCACAAGTTTTGTTTTAGAATACATAAAACACATTAACACAGTTACACATTGCTGTCCCCTGTCTCATGCATAACACATCAAGAAGATCCTGCTAGATCCAAATTTATTGGATCTCACACAAGCTGGTCCTAAAAGATGAAGTATCGGAATCTATGAATGAATGTAGGGTTAATTAAACAAAAGGGTCCCTGTACTGTGGTAATTTGATCATTCGAGTCACTCTTACTACTAATTTGATTAACTGAGTCCCTCTACTATGATTTACAATTAGGCCCTCCATCCATAATGGCATTAGCACTGATTTGCTATCACGCTTGATGCATAACACATCCAAACTTCTAAAAAACTTCCAAGTTTCAGATCAAATGACTTCAAAATCAAAGTAATAACACACTGTCTAGATCAATATAGAGAAGAAGCACTGGAGCCTAATCTGGACAAATGTCACTCTCTTCATGCTGCCACCATCATCATCACTCTTTCTCTTACTGATGCACCAATCTAGACCAGCAGATCTTGAAATTAAATATTGATTGCTGATAGTGAACACTGGTGGCACTTTTTCTACAACCTCAACAGTGTTTCTCAAGGTAAAAGGTGACACAGATTTAAACATGCTATTTTATGGTTGGGGCAATGATGGGATAAATGCAGAACAAAAGACAGACTAAAGGATGATGCTTTCATGAATGCATAATTGGCTTGGGCCTGGGTGACCCTTAATCTAACCCCAACCCTTGCTTGTATCGGGTTGTCACAGCAATACCAGAGCCCATCCCTTTGCCCATTTATCCACTCTTTTGGGGGCATAAAGGGTGGTTATTGCAGGTTATAGACTTTCTTGTCATTCAGAGTCACAACTCCCTGTTAGGCTCATGGTGGTTCTTAGATAGCCACGGCTTGTATGATCATGCATTTTGTCTTTCTTACTTTTCAGTGAAGGAATATTCATTATTTATATTATTCTTAATGGTTTTTTTTTTTTTTTTTGGCAGAACCTCCTGCCTTTGAAGTTGTCCCATCTCTCAAAAGATTAAGACAGCGTATAGCTGCAGCTGGTCGTGGACAATATGATGCTGTTTTTATGTCTGGAAGGTGAGATGCTAGATTGCTATTTGAATCTTCATATTTAATCCACAATTAGCATAAGTCAGAAAAATGGTTTCTTGATAGTTTTTTATTTCTGATGAATTTTAATGAGATTTGGTTTTTTGCACTTGAATGCATGGGATACTGTATGCCATGTCAATGGTAAATGACAAATTCTTTAACTTACCCTGTCATTGCAATTTTCATAGTTCTGATATCTGTGTGTAGAAACCCTATGTTCATAACAGTAGTTTTAGGTTCAAGTTAAATGCCAGTCATTTTAGTAAGCATGCTGTCCAATGGGCCTTCAAATCCTCTCTACAGGCTGCATAATTCTCAGCAAGACAGTGGTTATCTTAAAGGTCATTAAAGCTCACTTACAATGGAGTATATATACATTCAAGTGAAAACTATTCATCCTCAGATATCTCTACATCCTCTTATGCAGTGGCCTGACTGGAGTGCACTAGAATCCTTCTCTCCTTGCGTTAGCTTCTCTAGTTACTGCCAGTGTCAAGTACAAATTTGTCAATAGCTTGGAAGAAGGCCGTCCTTTCTTGAGTATCTATCAGCAATTACTCAAATGCCATAACATAGCTTCCTTAAATCTGCATTAATACAATTTCAGCCACATTTAAGCCTTTGAAGCTCATTTCTGTGCATAATTATTCAAGTGCACGGATCCTTTTTGACCAATGTTGAAGTTAGGATGGAACGAGGTTATATTTTTTCTGTAGAAGTGTCTCATAACTGTTACATTCAATTCTCTTGCATTGACATGTAAGGTGGTACAAGTCCTTGATACTGGTGTTACTATCTCTGATTTATCATGTACTTTGAATGTTATGTTCTACTATGTATATTTTATCAAAATCTTACTTTCTTATGTTTGCTGGGTTCTCGTTTATGTGTTCGCTTTCGAAAGTTTTACAAGATCTTATTTATTTCATGCCTATTAATGATTGAGCATTAGTTGTTGATATATGGTGCAAGGAGAGTTGGATGAAACCAACTGTTTGCATGAAGTATCCAAGTGACCAGCTGTAGCTTTTGAAATTTATTTGCATATTTGTATATTGTAATGCTGATATGCCAGACGACCAGTTGGTAATTTTAGAACATTCATGATAACACCTGACATTTACATGAAAGGTCATCCATTTTACCACAATCTTAATTCCATTTCCCATATATTTCATGCAGTGGAAGCACAATAGTTGGGATTGGCTCACCAGATCCTCCTCAATTTATATACGATGAAGATGAGTACCAGGATGTTTTTGTGTCAGGTAAAGCTAGTTCTTCGCAGTAGCTTACTATTTTATCACTGCCTCCATAGAATAGCTGAAGCTTTAAGAGCAAGTCCCCAATATCCTTAAAGTACGAAGGCATTTACTTAAAGATGCATTAAAAGCAAGAGGGCTTAAGGTTACACAATCAGAGGCATGACAACTGCAGAAAAAATAAAAATAAAAATTGCTTTCTGTGTGGAGTGTTGACACAAAGACCTTGCAGAAATTTTTAACAAGAGAAATTGCTAAACTTTAAGAAAAATAACAAGAAAAACTTGAAGAATAGACATAGGCCATTGGACCCACATTAAGGTCACGATACAATGGCTCCTGATCTTCTTGAAGTTTTCTCTTGTTCTCTCTTAATGTTTAGCATATATATATATATATATATTTTAATTAAAGATTTACACTGAACTAGTATTCTGTTTTCATCTTTTAGGACAAATTTAAGGCCTATCCATGAAAGAAGAAAATCTCTTGATTTATTTCTCATTATTTGTAAATTTGACTGTTATATGTTCATTCTTTCTAATTGCAGAGGCCAACTTCATTACTCGTGAAGCAAATCAATGGTATCAACAACCTGCTTCAAGTTCAACAAATTGTAGCACCCCACCTGAATTTTCCTAGTCTTTTGAGTGACTGATTCTCTTGTATAAAACAAGGGTTAAGTCTGCACCATTGTAACATTCATTGAGGTGCAGTTTCTGTCTTTTGCTGCCTCTTTTCTGCTGTACGTAGTTTAAACTATTTTTGTAACAAATGATAAGGGATGCTAGGTTGGATGGGGAAAAGATATCCAAACAATTTCCAGTCAAATCTTGCTGTAATTGCAAGAGAAATGAGAAACTATGGAGTTGGAAATACTGAAATCGTTGAACAAGTTGAAGCTGGGATGCGAGGGAGGGTATTATGAGAATAAATGAATATCCAATTAGCATCATCATTTTGGATGAAAAAATGGTCATCTACGTTTTCGTTACTTTCAGTTTTTACTGAGGCTCCACCAGATGAAAAGGTGTTAAATCAACCAACGTTCTTGGACGTGTTAGTTATGCTTAATGTGGTTGACCTAATGGAACTAAAATTCCTTCCATCATTTTTTCCCCTAGCCTCTTGCTTTCTCCAATTATGACGAAGTGATAACAAGTCAATGCAAAGTAAGGGGTAAAGAGAGATCGAAAGCAAAGCACTTGTGAAACTACAATGATATTTCACCAACAACAAACACAGGGAACCAGCACCAACATCAAATTCAAACATATTTTGAGGTCTTTTTTTCTTTTTCTTTTTTTCATTTTATTCATTGAAATCATTTCCCCACCACCCTACAGCGAAGGAGATGAAACAAACTGTCTTGACAAGCCAAAGAGATCATTCCCTTCAAATGGAGAAGTCCATTCACGAGAACCGGGGGTAGATGTTTCTGAATTAGCCACAACACCATCCTGCAATCCCGGAAGGGGTATGCCATTGCCATTGTCATTGACAATGGGAGCTGATCTCATTGCCAGCCTAGCACCAAAGCCAGACGCACTAGCATCATACATTTGAGCACTGCTCTTTAAACTTGTAGGCCCTAAAAATAATCCACCAGGACTTGGGGAAGATAGACCTCGATCCAAACTCCAGTCTATGCTGGTGTAGTCTAACTGCGCCATAGACCCAGAAGTGCTCCAATCAACTGGAGAGGATGCCCCTGATGAACCTGTTGAACCCAATCCGGAGAAAAGTCCAAGGGAAGAAGCAGCAGCAAGTGATGGTGATGCACCAGGTCTACTCCATAAGCCATTTACTTTGATGGTTCCAGGAGAATCCCCTGGGCCACTGCAGGGAATAAAATGCTGTGGTTGCTGATAATGAAATTGGTGGAACATCTGACTGGAACTCAGATTGTTTGGGCTGAGGCTTCTTGTGCTAGGAATGTGAGGCATCAAACCATTTGGCTTCATGATATCAACGCTATTGGTGGGATACCAACCGGCAGCTGTTCCAGGAGGAGATGAGCTTATGCTTGTAGTTGGAATCTGCTTTGAATTTACAGACTGAGGCCGCTGCATCATTATCACCGGTTCTCTAACTGTTCCAGGCTGAAGGCACTTGTATTCACTTCCAACAGCAACATAACGGGTTTCTATCTTGGCTGGTGGAGGTGGCACTTGCAAAGGAGATGCCAAAGAATAAGAAACTGACGGATTTGATCCGGCACTTGGCCATCTTTTGTCAGTTGGAGTCAGAGTTGGCTGGGGCTTTGGCCAATCCAACTTCGGTTGTATTCTCTTCAAAGGCTGCACATTTTTACTCCCAGATTCTGAAGATCCGCTAACTGGAACAGTGCCTTTTGTATAGTTAAAATCTTTATCATCTCTTCTTTGCTGCATCATAGGCGGGTTGAGCTTTGGTTGTGCTTGGACCACGTTCTGGCTACCTGCTACAGAAAGCTTATCATTACTTGATGTTGGAGGATCACCATTTTCCTCAGGTTTTGGTGGAGCAGAAGGTGGATCTAGCTTCAGTTGTCTTAAACTTTCTGCAGCCTTCTCGAGATCACCCTCAGAGCCAACCAAAGCTCTTTCAACCTCCTGTTTTGTGCACTTATATCTGATTTCCATTTCCACAATCTGAGCAAGCTCTTCTGATATATCAATTTTCAAAGTACCCCCACCAAGGTTTTGATCCCTGTGCTTATCTGCATGTTCACCCTCTTCAAACAACCATGTTACAGATTCTTCTAACTTGCCTTCGTTCAATATAAGAGCCATTGTTGCCCGCTCATGCAAAAATCCCATTGCAACAAGCTGTTGAGCTAGTGCTTCCAGCTTTCTCGACATTAGATAGCCAGTGCACCGCTCATGCAACTCCTGCGCTCGCCTCTCTTTTTGACGCTGATGCTTTTTCTCGTTCTTCTGGCGGATTTTTTCCCTCTTGTCATTGTCAGCACCTGGTATTGTTTCCAGCCGGACTGGATGATTAGAAGTCTTCTCTTTGTGATCTTCTGATTCACCAGACCAGCTACCATTATTTGAAACAGAATCATACTCAACCCCAGCTCCAAGTGAGCCACCTGGATGATCATCTGTCTCATCTATGTTTCGGAAACGACCATTACCATGTAGAGGTGAAGCAGCGGATGTCGGCACTGTTTCAATGGTATGAAATGTTCCAGATAGTGGATTGTATGCACTAGCTGAGATACCATTCCCTGCATTTGCAGGTCCTGAAGGCTTTGATGAAGCCTTCTGGGGTTCCTTGCCAGCCTTTTTGTCCTTTGACTTAGATTTTGATGCTGGAGACATCTCAAAGGGAAAATATGTTCCTCTGGTGTCTACAATAATGATCAAGACATTTAGTGTACAGTTGTGGAAATAGAAAAATAATTCAAGTCATGCAAGATCACCATTAAATCAGACAGTATAATAACCAACAATCATCCACCCATTAGCTTCACAGAAGTTTATTTGGAAGCATAAAAGGAAGTTGTTAGTTTGTTCTATAAGATTCAGATAGTCACACATATGCTATTTATTAAAGGATCTGAACCTCAAAGCGCTGCACAGAAAGCAGCAGAAATGAAAGTACAACTATTAAACACAGGCCTAAACACCAATTGACATCTCTCATTTAAATGATGCTTTAATGATGCCTGTGGCAGATCTTTAAAGTGGCAAAAGAAACTACCAATATGCATCAAGAAAGAGGTTGAAACGACCACTCATTACAAATCTTGATACCCTGCGACTAAAACATGGTATAGAATACCATAGGTAGTATGAGTTCAGCCATATCATTAAATGCACATTCTGGCATGTTGTCCACATTGAGCATGCTTCTTCTTGGGGAACCACACCAAAAGTACCCATCATATATTTAACCATTTTTACCCTGCTCTTTATTTTGAAAAATACAATCACTCACTTTTCATGTAAAATTAAAAACCATCAATACCATTCATGTTAAATTGCCAGAAAAGTCTGTTCCAAATCATAGTATAGGTTAATGCAGACTAAAAATATCAGGGATGTGGAGTTCAAGAAAAAAAAAAAAATATCAGTGATAATACATCAATTTCATTTTCTTAAAAATCAAGAAAATTACGAAAAACTATTGTAATAAAGCTAAGCATCACTATCAAATCACAAGATTCCCAGTGATACCTAGAGCCGTTGAAACTGAATTGTTCAGCAAAGTTTCTGGTTGCTAAAACGCAAAATCCAAAAATCATTGGAGGCCATTCTTAACCAGGGAATCCCAACATTGCCATATCCTTGCCTACCCTCTAAGGAGCACATTTGATGCAGGACAGCTTAGGGAGGCTGTTCTTGATCTGACCTTGGAGGCTGCTTAGGGCTTTATTGATGCAGATTTCTGCTGGAATTGTATAAACTATTAGTGTTACACTAATAGGTTTCGAGGAGTCATGCCTAGAGGATAGAAAAACCTAAGCTTCACACCTAGGGTTCTAAGGAGTCACACATAAGGGAGATTGAGTCACAAAATCAAAAGCAAATTGCTGGAATTTTATTCATAAACTGCCATTCAAATATTGAAAGACTACATGCTTATTTATAGACTTTTAGTAGTCCAATTCCAATAAGGGCATGGATTCCTAAGCCTCCAACATAACTATTCCTATTTAGAATAGGAAAACCAAATAACTTTAAGACTAATAAAAAAATATACGAAACAAAAATAAAGCCTAAACCTAGACAATTTCCAAATTTTCCAGCAAACCTTAAAATTACTAAAAAACCCTTACATTCTAAAATTTAAATAAAACACATAAATCTTAGTGTTCTGTCATCCACAACATCCTCGCCAGCTGGGAGAAAACTCAACCCCGAGTTTTGAAATCATGTGATAGTATCTTCATCGGCAAGGTCATCAGCCTCACAAGTCCTAAAATCAAAAGAATTTCCTGCCAAATCAGATTCTTGTTCTGCAGCTTTTTTTCTTGTGCAATCCCAACATGCAGATTATTCTTCTTAGGGCATCGGTAACCCATATGTCCATGTTCTCCGCATTTAAAACAAACATGTCCTTTGTTGTCTCTAACTTTGGTATGGATTATATTGGAAGAAGAAGGCTTTGAACCATTAGGATGGTTGAAAGGTTGTGAATGGACTGACCTTCCATCTTTACTCAAGTCATCATTCCTTCTTGCTGCTGTTTCCATGGCTTGAAACCCAACTTTTCTCGTAATTGGATACTTTAAGTAGTCTTCTGCATCGGTTGATATCAACCCTCATACCAGCTTTGAATCAAGCAAGTGGCTGGTCATCTTCCATAATTTGACCTCTGATAGTCAGCTCTCCAAAATTCTGCATATATTCACTAACAGTTAGGCTGCTTTATCGTAAAACGTAAGCTGCCACACCAATTTTTTGAACATAATTGGCTGGCATGTATTTCTCCATAAGCTTGGTTTTCCATCTCAAGCCAAGTAGTGATAGGTGCTTGTCCCAATTTTCGGAACCCTTTCAATTGATGCCTCTATTGCTGCAAGTCTGGAATCAAGTTTTCCTTCAATATTATCTAACCTAGCATCCATAGATTGCAATCTTGTTTCCAATTCTTGCTTGGAAGTTTCAAATTTTCAATTTACTTCAGTGGTGGTTACCATGATTGAAGAACACAACAAAAGCTTCTAGGATCTTAAAGCTCTAATACCAACTGATGCAGGACAGCATGGGGAGCTGTTCTCGATCTGACTTTGGAGGCTGTTTAGGGCTTTCATTTATGCGGATTTCTGCTGGAATTATATAAAATATTTAGAGTCACGCTAATAGGGTTTCTAGGAGTCGCACCTAGAGGATAGAAACCTAAGCTTCACAGCTAGGGTTCCTAGGAGTCACAACTAAAGAAGATTGAGTCACACAATCAAAAGCAAATTGCTGGAATCTTTTATCATAAACTGTCATTCAACTATTGAAAGACTACATGCTTATTTATAGACTTTTAGTAGTCCAAATCCAATAAGGACATGGATTCCTAAACCTCCAACATAAATGTTCCTATTTAGAATGGGAAAACCTAATAACTTTAATAAAATAAAATACTAAAGGGAAATAAATCCTAGACCTAAACAATTTCCAGATTTTCCAGCAAACCTGAAAATGACAAAAAACCTTGCATTCTAAAATTTAAATAAAACACACACATCTTAGTCCTTTGTCGTCCGCATCAACATTGCTTCAGAAACCATACTCAAACATTTTGATCACTTAATTCTGTCAACAACTAAAAGCCTTTAATTCTTTTTCCCAATTCATCACCTTTGTTGCAAGCAGAACCACTATAGAAGCATTTGAACTGCTAAGTTATCAAATCCTGTGAGCCTGTAACTGGTCTTCCAATCCTTCAGCTTTATTGTGTCCCCATTGTCTAAGGAAGGTTATAAAATTTATAATGATGCCAACAGTTGAGAAACATTTAAAGGACCCAAATACCATCCAATAATGTATTTTCCAATACGAAGAGTTAACAAAAGAGCTAGGGTTTTCCTAAGCACAACAAAGGTGGTCACAACCTCCACAAACAAGGCCTCTTCTTCCTAAGCGCAAATATTCAGGACCGTTGGGATCTTAATAGTCAAAGATAATAGTTCAAACAGCACCCTTTAACCAAGTAGACTGGAGACCCAATAGATCCTTTGAAGAGAATAAACCGTCCAGCTTTATTTTGACAGATATAAGAGAAGTCCGCTGGCATATTAGCAGTAAAAGAAATGAACACAAAATTCAATTCTGACAATTGCTCAAGTAACACTACTATTGCAATCTTCACAACATTGCATTCAACAGTTTCTGGCCTTGCAGAATCTCAATGAAGTGACCCAAATTTCCAAATACGGTTTACACAAACACACCCATATACAGAATTGTGTCATTTTTGTTTCCCTATCACCAAAATGAGTCTCCAAGCATTGAAGCATCGATGAATTTGAGATTCCATCACTCTTATGAACTTAATTTCATCGAGCACTCCCCATGGAATTATTGGGGAAGTAACCACAACGAACCACATCAACTCAAGTATTCAACCTAATTGTCTAGTAACATCCTAACTTCTACAATAAAGAACAATTTTTTTAAACCCAAACTGTTACTATTAAACTAGTAACATGTTCACTGTAAGATTTATTTCCTATCTGAAATAATTTTCTATACATTTCTGGTAGAACTTTCTACCATTACAGCTAATTTTCACTAATAACATGCTAACAATCAAAGCCAGTACTTTACAACTAGAACATAATAACATTGTAACAACAACAAATTCGCAGAATACAAGAAAAATAACCGAACACCATACAAACACAAGAATTGAGTCTCCATACTTGCAACTTAATTTTTTTTTAAAAAAAAAAACCTAATTTCCACCTCATCTTAAGCAGACCAAGCCCTAGATACCCTCAAAATCTATTTCTCCTTCGAAAAAAAAAACTGCCGCAAAACAACAAACAAAGTATCAATTTCCTCCTTCGATTGTTAACTCCACGGCATCGACATTTGCAATCCTTGAATATTTCAGAAACAACATTGCTCCATTGATTGCGATCATAAATAACAGAATCATCGGTCAATTGATTAAAATATTCAGAAATGATAGATCCATCACAAGTTTTTCCTAATTATCTGGATTCTCAGTCTTAAACAAACGAGAAAATCGAATTCGAATCCCTAATAAGATTAAAATTCCGCCAATCAATCAAAATAAAAACTGAATGCTAAAATTTAAGAGATAGAGAGCGGGGAGGGAGGGCAGACCTGTGGGAGAGATAGAGAGAGAGGTAGACGGCGGTTTGATCGATCGGACGGTGGAGATTGAAGAGAGAAATGAGGGAAGGAGAGAGGGATTGGTTGAGGCTGAAACCGAATCGTTAGAGTTAGGGTTTTTGGAGAGAGAGAGAGCGGGGAGAGAAGGGGGATTTTGATTTTTGTTTTTATTGATTTTTTGTAAAATATAATCTGAAAAAAGAAAAGCCTTTTTGTTATATGTTTTTAATCTAAGAGGCAGACATGGGGATATGAATGGATGATGTGGCCCTTGCGTTGTCTTTTTTCATTTTTCCTTTTTTTGCCCTTTTTGGCTAAAATATACAAAGTCCCTCTAAACTATATTGTTTTAATTAACACCCCAATGTTTTTGTTCTTTCAAATTTGGTACAAAAATTATAAAGTGTTTGGATTGAGACCTCTCTCATCACTATTCAGCGGTAAAACTCCATTAAAATCACAAAATCTCCCTTAACAATCACCAAAACAATCCTTTTAATCTCATTAACAACTTTTTGGTA